TCTTATTTTCTGCATCATTAAGAACGTAGCTGTTATTGATATTTCTTAAATGTATAAGAGCTTGCAAACAAAGTGTTTAGCGATTTGAAGCGTTTGAGTAGATTAATAGGGATATGTCAGACATCCTTGATCAGTCAAAGATTTAAAGGGAACTTGTTGTGAACAGGGGATGTTCCTCTTTAAATAGAATGTCACTTGAAACTACGCGTACAGTCCCTTTAACATTAAAGGGACCGTAAAATGACCCTTTATCAAATTGAATTCCATATGAATTTGCATAATTGAGCCATTAAAGGATTAAAAATGAAGATATTTTTACAGATAATCGAATCTTCATATACACAGTACACACAACAAACAAGAATAACTCCAGATACTGAACTGATTACTCACAGAAAGGTTAAAAATCTAGGTACTGTGTGAATCGTTCATGCAAATTTGTAAATGAATGGTCACTTGAAATTGCGCCAACAGTCTCTTTAATAATTGTAAAAATTAAAAACTGTCAGAGAACACATACTAAAAGTTCACAAACTCAAGATTTATTACTTGAATAAAATTTCAAATATTTTCCAAAAATATTTTATATTTTTATGGTCTCATAATTCTTGAATATAGTGTCTAGAATACAAATACAATGTGTACGAGTTATTGTACATGTACACTGTACGCTGTACACTGTACGTTGTACACGGTATGTGGTACACTGTACGTGGTAAACTGTACGTGGTACGTACGTTGTACACTGTACCTTTTACACTATACGTTGTACACTGTACGTGGTACACTGTACGTGGTACACTGTACGTTTTACACTGTACGTGGTACACTGTACGTTTTACACTGTGCGTTGTACGTTGTAAGTTGTACACTGTACGTTGTACACTGTATATTGCGTTTACTGTATACTGTTCACTTTAACCTGTACACTGTACACTCTTCACCGTACACCGTATACTGCACGCTGTAAATTGTACACTCTACACTGTACACTGTAAACTTTTCCTGAACACTGTACACTTTACGCTCTACACTGTACACTCTTCACCGTACACCGTATACTGCACGCTGTAAACTGTACACTCTACACTGTATACTGTAAACTTTACCTGAACACTGTACACTTTACGCTCTACATTGTACACTCTTTACCGTACATTGATACTGCACGCTGTAAACTGTACACTCTACACTGTATACTGTAAAATTTGACCTGTACACTGTACACTTTACGCTCTACATTGTACACTCTTTACCGTACATTGATAATGCACGCTGTAAACTGTACACTCTACACTGTATACTGTAAACTTTGACCTGTACACTGTACACTTTACGCTCTACACTGTACACTCTTCATCGTACACCGTATACTGCACGCTGTAAACTGTACACTCTATACTGTATAGAACAAGACAACATAATTTGATATAATTTTTGCTCAAAATTGACGGATACGTCAGATATCATAATTTAATTGATATTATTAATACAATTTGTTTTATCATCATTAAATATTTGAATTATGTATTGATTTGAATATCATCCAATATTACCGTCGTATTGTATTGAATTGCTCGTTTATCCTTTTTATTCTAAATATTGTTTTAAACAATGAAATAATTTTTTATATTTTTTATATCTCTTGTGTAGATCAATGGATTAATGGGATTAAGGATTGATCTCAATCTTGTGTAGATCAATGGATTAATGGGATTAAGGATTGATCTCAATCTTGTGTAGATCTATGGATTAATGGGATTAAGGATTGATCTCAAACTTGTGTAGATCTATGGATTAATGGGATTAAGGATTGATCTCAAACTTGTGTAGATCAATGGATTATTGGGATTAAGGATTGATCTCAATCTTGTGTAGATCTATGGATTAATTTAATTCCCCTTTCATATCCTATGGTAATCATACTATACAGGGTTAACTGAAATGAAGAGATCAAGCTTTTTTCTCAAATCAAAAGTGCCCAAAATCAAAATTTGAGTCTAAAAGTGGTCTTCCTATTCCACAAGTTTTATGAGTCTCACTTTATCTAAAGAGTTTCAGGATTCTTATTGGTTGTGGTTGTGGATAACTCTAAATATTTTAAAAATAGTATAATTCACAAATATAAAAAATAACACAATAAATTGACATTTTTTTTAAAGAAAAAAATGTAAGATGAGTGAATACCCTGCTGTCTCTCCTTAAATTAGATTTGTCTATCCTATGAATATCTCAGCATGCTCTAATAGAAAACATTTCTTGAAAAAGATTTTCAAGATGGATCCTCATTCAATCAATATTATCAAAGTTCAACCTGTCAATCATTTAATTAACTATTTAACTAATTAATTAATTAATTAAATAATTAATCCGTTGAAAAAAATTTTCTTAGTAACTCATACCACGATGGAATATAAAGACGACTGTAGGACTAAAGTTTATGATGTTAAATGGTATAACACCCAGCAATTTTCTAGTATACTTGATAACTTTATATTTAAGCTACTGGTGGAACCATTGGTTTAATAACAACATAAAATACCCAGTAAATTCCTTAAATGTAGACTTCATATTATTCCATAAATCAACATTTTTTCTTTCTAGGGGGGGGGGGTTTTTGGGTGTTAACGCCGTAACCTGATATTGGGACGTTTGGCCGATTTACATTATTCAAATATGCAGGGACTAGAAATACTTAAAGGGTCTGACGAGGTAAATTCAAATTACTTTAAATTTAGTGTGATAGGCATTCAATTCACAACGGTACCCTTAAACCTTTATCTGGTCTTGGATGAATAAGATATTTTTTCAATTGATTGATATTTTAAAATTGTGGTTTTTCTTAATGTATATTCTATAGCTTGGAAACCCTTCTTCGCCTGGTAGTTAAATTTTTGCTTCTAAGTCAACCCCCTCAACTTAGAACTTTTAAACCAAGCTAAGAACATTCCCGGGGTTATGTCTAGTTTCTTAATCAAAATGTTAGGGAAATTGGTCCAGGGATTCCTGAGTTAAATGATCATGATCAAACAACCAAACAATCTATATATACTTATATATACTTATCTATATATACTTTGCTTGTCTTTCTGGGTGGGTTTCTGTTTGTTTGTTTGGTTGTATGCAATAAAAGTCAAAACTGCTGAACTGATCGGGGCCATATTTTGTGTGGGACCTCATGTGACCCCAGGAAAGGTTTATGAATGATCAAAAAGTTTCAAAAATATGTGTTTAAAAGTTTTTATTTTTGTAGAATTTTAAAAGTGCGCGAAAAAGTATAATGAAATCCGCAAACTTTTTTGTTTGTTTTTGTTTTATACTGTACTAAAAAAAGATGCTCACAGATGATACAACAATTAAAAGTTTAAATAGAAGGTGGGCGCGAAGCGCCCTAAAAGCCTAGTTATGTAAATATATATATAATATAATATAAAATAAGTAATAAAGAATAACAATATCTTCTTCGAACAAAGGTTAAAAGGGTCCCATTGTGAATCATACAATGCCAATCTACGGAGGGTCACCAACATACACACGAAGAATGATATATGAAGAGGAAAATTCTAAGATGGATATTGACAGCTTGTGGATATCGATGAAAATAAACAGAATTGGGGAAAGTTGAAAACTTGCTAAATACTTGTGCAAACACAGCAAAATACTTGTGCAAAATAATCCAGTTGTGCCATAAACATAAAACTGTTTTGCGTACTTTTAATGGAATGGTTTTGTGCAGCAAACATGCAATATTTTATTAAAATCGTTCATTTGGTGAACGTTCAACTTTTCACGTTTCGTTGAGTAAAATTGGTTATGAACTGTAGGAGCTCAAAAATACAATTTTAAGTTATTACTCAAGATTTTGTAATTTTTAACTCAACTATTTCTAAAATGTTTCTTGTCCATACTTTAGAAATAAAGTAAAGGAAGAACGAAGACCGTATTAAAGTTTTCTGTACATTTATATTACGTCTAGGGTTTCCAGCGAACGAAAAATTTCGCGAAAAAATACAAAAAAAATGCGATAACGATGCGAAATTTCACGAAAAACGAAGCTGCAACAATTAATTGCGCAAAAAAACTTGTGGAATTCTCTGCTCAGAGAGCTCAGCATCAGAATTGTTTTATTATATCATAATTAATAATTTCTCTTCCTTTTTTCGCAAGATTTTCGCATTTCTTATCTCGCGAAAATTTTGCATTTTTTCGCGAAACAGATTAATACGATATTTTGCGAAAAAAAGTAAAAATTTTCGCATTTTCCGCAAGCGAACGAAATGCGAAAAAATAAGAAATTTTTGGCGACATTTTTTTCGCGAAACGATTTACCCTTTTCGCTGGAAACCCTGATTACGTCTGTTTATTTGTGTTCTGTTTGTTGTGTTAGACACACAGTTCTTGATTTCAATTACAGGAAGTATGTGATGTATAATTAATAATTATTATGCAAATTTAATAATATAAAATATAATTGAGGGCGAAACCTATTTATGATTGAAAGCAACAAAGAAAGATTTTAAAACAGAAAACATGAGAAAAATAACTCAACAAAAATTTGTGATTACCAGACCAACTTTGCAATCCTTTAACGCTAACAATTTTAAATATTCTGAATAAATAAATTTTTATAAGATCAAATAAAGTTTATTTCCCAGTTGAAAAACTTCATGAAAAATGAATACCCTGAAATAATTTTGAAAGAGCTAATATTACATTTTCATGGCAAAAACTTCAGCTACACAGAAGGAGAAGGTCAAATATATGACACATTACTAGTATGACTTTGTGACCTCGTCGCTCATCTTGTTTTGATTTTATGTATGAGTTTTGGATTACATGTTAAAAATTAAAAACACCTTTGCTTTTCTCAATAATAACTCTCGTCATTAGGAGAAGCTACGATTGCAAACATGAGAGATTTCTATTTAATTAAATTTTTTAACTCACGGGATGGAGATACAATATATATATTATATATATGATGAATATATAATATTTACCTACTGTTTAAGCTGCTTCCTGTTTTGTTTTAAAATATTCATTATTGCTTCTGTTTAGGTAAATATTGTATACAGTAAGCACATATTCACTTATTCATGACTTATTCTCACTCAATTCAAGCACTTAACTTATTCAAACTCACTTGAGATTTATCTAATTTTAACAGATCAACATTTTATTCTTTATCACTAATTTTCCCGCTCTGTGGAAATCTGGTAGAACTGAACACTTATTGTGGAAAACCTATTGTAGAACCACCTATGCAGTACTGATAGTATAAAGGCAGGTAGGCAGTAGATAGATAGATATTTGGTTAAAGATGGTTCGAATGATAGATAGATAGATAGATGGTGTAAGACAGGTAACTGGCTCTGTTTCCTCGGATGAACTGAAACCATCCGGTCTCTGTTGTAACCAGTCTCAAACCGGTACCGTGGGATCTTACTCCGGGGTCTTACACGGGGTCTTACAGATCTTACTCCGGGGTCTTACAGATCTTACTCCGGGGTCTTACAGATCTTACTCCGGGGTCTTACAAATCTTACTCCGGGGTCTAGCAAACCTTACTCCATCTGATAGCCCATTTAAAAATAATATTTTTTGTTTGATTATTTTCTTGTGGTTTTTTAACATTTTTACTATCGATTTTGATGGTTATCATATCGTTGGAACTGACGAGGGTCAACCCAGACAAAAATATATTTTCAGTAAAATGTGGAACTAACATCTACTTTATCTACTCTATAAAGGTTTGGTCCATCATCATCACCGAATTTTAAATCTTACTCCGGGGTCTAGCAAACCTTACTCCATCCACCCAGAACAAAATATATCTTCAATAAAATGTGGAACTAACATCTACTTTATATACTCTATAAAGGTTTGGTCCATCATCATGAACCGAATTTTAAATCTTTCTTCGGGGTCTTACAGATCTTACTCCGGGGTCTTATAGATCTTTCTCCGGGGTCTAGCAAACCTTACTTCAGGGTCTAGCAAACCTATCTCGGGTGTATTTAGATCCTACTCCGAAGTCCTGGGTCTAGCAAACCTTACTCCAGAACTTTACAGATCTTTTAATCCTTACTCCGGGGTTCATCAAACTTAGTTCCGGGTTTTCATTGACCTTACTCAGGGACTCATTAAACCTTTCTCAGGGGTCCATCTAACAATGAGGTCTAACTTAACTCAGGGATTTTTCAAACTTTACTCGCGAAGTTCATTAAACGTACTAGGTTTTTTTTCTCAAGATTTAACCTTAGGTTAGGTAAAGTGCAAGGTTGGCGAAATAAATATATCAGTTTTGTAATCCAGGAGAGACGTTAGATGCCTTGTAATCCAGGAGAGATGTTGGATATCTGTCTTGTAATCCAGGAGAGATGAGTTAGATATCTGTCTTGTAATCCAGGAGAGATGTTAGATATCTGTCTTGTAATCCAGGAGAGATGAGTTAGATATCTGTCTTGTAACCCAAGAGAGATGAGATAGATATCTGTCTTGTAATCCAGGAGAGATGAGTTAGATATCTGTCTTGAAACCCAGGAGAGATGAGTTAGATATCTGTCTTGTAATCCAGGAGAGATGTTAGATATCTACCTTGTAATCCAGGAGAGATGAGTTAGATATCTGTCTTGTAATCCAGGAGAGATGTTGGATATCTGTCTTGTAACCCAGGAGAGATGAGTTAGATATCTGTCTCGTAATCCAGGAAAAATGAGTTGGATATCTGTCTTGTAGCCCAGGAGAGATGTGTTAGATATCTGTCTTGTAATCCAGGAGAGATATGTTAGATATCTGTCTTGTAATCCAGGAGAGATGAGTTAGATATCTGTCTTGTAATCCAGGAGCGATGTTGAATATCTGTCTTGTAACCCAGGAGAGATGAGTTAAATATCTGTCCAGAAGAGATGTTAGATATCTGTCTTGTAATCCAGGAGAGATATGTTAGATATCTGTCTTGTAACCCAGGAGAGATGAGTTAGATATCCAGTTGTGTTGTATAAATTACTTGGATCGGTTTCCTTTATATTTTCACAGAATTATCGTTTATTTTATTTTACTCTATAGCAACGTATAGTTGTTAAACAAGATTATAGCGTGTAAATGCATAATCAGAAATTACTAATTACTATTTTGACCGGAAATTGTTGGTGTGCAGGGGGATCAAAGTGGATAGGTTTTATAGACATTGAGCCCCTGTCCCAAGCCCCCCCCCCTTAAAAAACGGGTGCTCGACAAATTCCGGTAAACGCCCCTGAGTGTGGGCGAATAGGATTTACGTCTTATTGTCAATATTATTGTTTGCATTTCGTGCCATTTTTTTTTAAAGCAATATTAATCTAAATTAACACCTAAATTATTAAAAGTATAAGCTCTTAGCTGATTGTGATAATGCCGCGTCCATCAAAGACGATCTCAACGTCTAAACAGTGTTTCATGTTCTGTTAATTTTAGGTTTAATTTAGTTCTACATGTTCTTTAAAACTTTAAAAACTCTATACTTGTATCCATTTCATATATTCTTATTAGTCAAATACGAAATGGTTTATGCCTAGGATTTTAAAGTAAAACGTATGTAAATAAAAGGAAATTCAGGGATTACATTGAATACTGGAATATTGGTGAATCTAAAAATACACGGATATTTAATTATAGGAATCATGGAGGTTTTTGGATACATGAGTCATGACACGAAGATATATGGATACAAGACAAGGAGGTTTATGGATACATGACACGAAGATATATGGATGCATAACATGGAGGTTTTTGGATACATGAAAAGGAGGTTTATGGATACACGGCACGAAGGTTTATGGATACATGACATGGAGGTTTATGGATACATGACACAGAGATGTATGGATACATGACAAGGAGATTTATGGATACATGACAAAGAGGTTTATAATTGCGTGACATTGAGGTTTATGGATACATGGCACGGAGATGTATGGATACATGGCAAGGAGGTTTATAATTACATAAATATGACACAGAGATTTATGGATACATAACATGAGGTTTTTGGATACATGACACGGAGGTTTATGTATACATCACAAGGAAGTTTATAATTACGTGACCATGATACGGAGGTTTATGGATACATGGCATGGCATGAAGGCTTATGGATACATTAACATGACACGGAAATTTATGGATATATGACATGGAGGTTTATGGGTACATGACACGGAGGTTTATGGGTACATGAACATGACACGGAGATTTATGGAAACATGACATGGAGGTTTATGGATGCAATGACACGGAGGTTTATGGTACATGGCATTAAGGTTTATTGATATATGACACGGAGGTTTATGGATACATGACATGAAGGATATAGATACTTCACATGGAATTTTATAGATACATTTCCAATAATTATTATTCCCTAGATGAACTCGATATATCGAGTATAATGACATATTCTCCTAACTTCATATTTAATTACCATATTAATTAAAAACTAATGGATATTACAGGGTGACCCACAAAGTACAAATCTACTGAGTCAATTTTTTTTCATTTGATTGTTGGTTCAATATATCTGTACTCTTGTTTTTTCTCCTTTTTAAAATATTTTAATAAACCTTTAATCTTTAAAACACTAAATCTCCGGCAAACGACTAAATTTATCCTTAAGACCATTACAGTCTCAGAGTTTAAGGCCGTCTTTATAGTCTTTTTGTGTGGGTAACCCTGTATGCAATCTACATATTCTATACTCTATATTCTAACTTAAAGCTGATGTGTATACAATACATGTATTTCTATAAGGAACACATTTGTAAATGTTTAAATATATTTTCTTTTGAAAAATGGAAGAAAATCAGAACAAACAAAAAGAAAAAATGAATGTTACTCTTAAGCATATTGAAAAAGTTCTTTTTATTTTAACTTGTTAAAAAATGGTCTTTGTTAATTGAAAAACTATCGTTTTTTTCTTTTTCCTATCGTTTTTTGTTTCGTTTTCCGATCTATTAAAACAATCGTTTTTTTAAAAAGGTTTTTAAAAATGATCGAAAAGCAAAACAAAAAACGATAGGAGAACGAAAAAAACGATCGTTAGACTACAGCACTATCCATAATTCTCCAATGAGTAAAATGGGTCTGTTTATAAATCACAATGCCGATTCTCATGGTCATGTTCATTGAACTATTTAGTCAAAACTTTATTCTAGATGTCGTCTTCCCATTTTAGAGATTCACGGTTCTCACTGTATGCTAAAATAATAAAAGTATATTGCATGGCTCAAAAAAACGATTAATCTATATCTACATTCTATATAGTAAAAATAGCGTCGAAAGTGAAGCCTCTCGGACATTAAAGGAGAACATATGAATCGCCATGTCTGATTTTTGCATTTATACTTTTGCATTGAAAAGTTANCACTCTTTAAGCACTTCTTATTATCTTAATTTGAAGTATAATATTAAACATGATTCTAGATTAATGCAGAAAGTTTTCAAATCAAATGGAATTCTAAACTTAAACTGCAGTTGTATATCAACCTCATCGACATTTATTAGCACACTAGTAAAATACGAGCCCAAGACTTAAGATTAATATTCACATTTTAGTTCTTGAAAAAAACAATAAAAACATTACTTCAAACTAAAGTATATAAAACTTATATTAAAATTAAAATCTTATATTTGTTTCATACCTCCTTTTTTAAATAGCTATTAAGAAGAACAATGTCCAGAATTTCCAGTACGTATTCTCATAAAATCAAAACTAGAGAAGAGCTACGAGGGTATGAAGTGGTACTGAGAGAAGTTATCAATTAACAGATTCTCTTTGATACTTGTAAACTTGTATTTTGAAAAATGCATTCTTAATAAAAAATTTGTCTTCATTGTATTGACATAATCGCCGAACACTGCATAAAAATGAGTATCCTGGCCTATGACTGCGTATATAGAAAATGAGTATCCTGGTCTACTGCATATACAGAAAATGAGTATCCTGGTCTATGACTGGATATACAGAAAATGAGTATCCTGGTCTACAGCATATATAGAAAATGAGTATCCTGGTCTACTGCATATACAGAAAATGAGTATCCTGGTCTACTGCATATACAGAAAATGTGTATCCTGGTCTACTGCATATATATAAAATGAGTATTCTGGTCTACTGCATATACAGAAAATGGTATCCTGGCCTATGACTGCATTTATAGAAAATGAGTATCCTGGTCTACTCCATAAACAAAAATGGTATCCTGGTCTATGACTGCTAATATAGAAAATGAGTATCCTGGTCTACTGCGTATACAGAAAATGGTATCCTGGCCTATGACTGCGTATATAGAAAATGAGTATCCTGGTTTGCAGCATATATAGAAAATGA